CGCGCCGTCCCCCGGCGGCTCCGGGGAGCCCGAGCAGGCGGCCTGAGCGCCGCCCCGCGCGGCCTCCCCACCGCCAGCGAGGCCCCTGCACGGGCCGGCCCTGCCCCGCAGGGACCTGCTCCGAACCCCCCGCTGCTGCCCCGCTGCGTGCAGCCGGGGTGAGGCCCGAGCAGCGGTCCTGCCCGGAGGCAGCTGTGAATCCGCGCCAGGCAGCACAAGGTGCCTTTAGCCAACAGGCACAGGACTGGCTAGAGCGTCTCGCTTCCCCTAACCTTGGCACACGCCTGCTGCCCCTTTCCCTTTACTTACTGCTGCTTTCTCAAGGGTTTCCATTGACTGGGTACTCTTCATCTCAAAKAGAAAGCTCCAGTGGTCCATATGAGCCCCACGCTGGCAAATGCAAGGGGGCTGTAGCTATTCTTCAGTTTCTCCAGGGAAAATCTGGCTACTTTTGTTCATGTAAAACAGTGTGATTTGCCTGAAGTAAAGTAGCAGCTTTATTACTTTGTCATGTGTTTGTCCTTTTCTTCATCCTGAGAAGTAGGAAACTCTCTGACATTCATTCCATTCCTTACTGTTAAAGTAGTTCCTGAAAGGCTGGCAAATACTATACTTGCCCTAAACAAGGCAATTCTTCCTGTGGTTTCTCATGCCCACCGCCAGCACGGTCCCCTCCAGGCACGTATCTGGCCAGCACCAGCCTCAGAGATGGACGAGCCTGCCAYTCCACAGGCTGTGAGGATGCAGCGGCCCGGAGTGTCATGCATCCTTTCTCCCACCCCACGGGCAGCGAGAGGGCCTGCCACACAACGACACATCAGACACAGTGATGGCCCTCTTGCTTTTATTGATTTCCCTCGTGGTGAGGCGTCACGCGCTGGGCACAAGCGGCTGCTGCTCCTCGAGCAGCTCCTCACCAGGCGGCAGCTCATAGATGACACAGAGGGAGGAAAAGAGGCATCCCAAGAAAGACACGAGACACGCAAAGTACATGACACCACTGGCGCTCCCCACGGCTGCAGTCAGAGGCCCCATAATCACGGCCACAAGGATCTGAGCCAAGAAGTACTGGCAGCTCAGCAGGGAGATGTCCACACCCATCCCACGCCGCGTGCCCTCTGCCTGTGAGCCGGCGAACTATGGGGGACACCACGTGAGAGGGGCTGCTGGCAAAACCACCCCTGGCCCCAGCTTCCTGCACTCACCTTGCGGCTCTGGTAGTAGTCACACAGCAGGGAGTAGGGCAGCGTACAAAGCGTAGCAAAGAGGACACCGTAGGTGGCACACAGTGACAGCACCACATACACATTTCTGGAGAGCGTGGCCAGCCCAGTGCCCAGCCCGAAGGCAAGGTACGCCACGAAGTACAGTGTCCGCGTGCTGAACCGCTCCTCCAGCTTCTCCAGCACAGCTGCAAGACAACACCACTGCATCGCGGGCCGCACGGAGCGTGGCCCTCCCCGGCCACCAGCAACGTGGCAGGGCTCCAAGGGTGCAAAGCGGCTCCCTGCGGCCCCGCTGCCCCGGCACCAAGCAGCGACAGCGCAGTGGTGACCGCCGGGGCCTTGGGTTCCTGGTGCTCTGCAGGCATGTGCCCAGCATCCTTCCAAGTGCCCCCTACTCCATGCAGCATGGGGAGAGCACAAGAGAGCTGCGCCCTCGGTGCGTCCCTGTCCCATGGGGAGGAGGGAGGAGCTGTTGCGTGGGGTGGGTGCGGCGCTAAGGCCTTGCGCTGACCCSATGCTGCTGGGCCGAGCACACATCTAGATTAATGTACTGTTAATCTGCCACTTGCAAAAAGAACTCTGCAGTAAAGGAAATGTGTTTTCACTGGCCTGCTTGCCACCTCTGCTCAGGCCATGCTAAGCTGCAGAGAGAATACTGTGAGCAACCAACATACTCAAGCAGCATTCACGCCCCGGGCAACACACAAAAGCACCACTTCAGGAGCAGGTGTATSATGCTGTCAGCAGCACAGAGGGTGACTTAGTACCTGAATAGAAGGCAGCGCTGAACGCGTAGATGCACATTCCCCAGCAGCCCATGGTGACCCCAGCGTTGTACTTCTGATACTCATCCGTGTTGTGAGGAGCCTTTGGATTCCCTTGAAACACTACTTCTCCCATGAAGTCGGTGTAGAAGAGCAACATCCCCTCAAATGAAAGCCAACCTGAAAGAAGCCAGAAGTAACCTGCTAGGATCCCCCAGCATCTCTTTCCCCTTGTAAGCCATGAATGCTATTATCTACCTTCCAAATCACAACTGAGGGCAGGTAGATTGTGCCATGTTAGTATTACATAATGCTTAGCACTACTTTTCTGAGACTGCTGTTGGCTGTGTATTTTGCTGTAATGTTTGTCAAAGTCATTCACAATGTTGAACATGAAGATTTCCCCCATACACAGTCCTAGAGGCAAACTACAGATTACAGAATATTGGTTTTAGCAAGACAGAAAACCAGACTATACAGCAGTCTGAACTACCTTCAGCTTTCGATAGGTTATGGTGCCCAGTTCTGCTCATAGTAACTTAACATGTACTGGTTTCAGAGTGCTGTTGTCCTTCCACAGGGAAGTTCTTCTTATGCTGTGGCTGCAGCCTCTGCAGGACTTCTGACAGTAAAAAAACATACTCACAAACCCAAGGCAGGGAGAGCAATGCAGGCAATCTCTTAATTCCTTCCTCAGCCTATGAGTATTAACTACCTGTTGTCTCTTGTCCAACTTTGTGTAAACTGAGCAGCTTATCGGCTCTTTAGTAGGAATGAAGGTAACAGCCTGCTCCAGTGCTGAAGCTCACCTCTAGTTCACCTCACTATTTTTTATTTCTTAGTGTTCTGAAAACCTAAATATCACAGCATCTCTTATTGGTCACTGTAATGTAAGTCATTGCAAAGACAGTTTTTTTTTTTTTTAATTCAGCCACAGTGAATTACTTCATAGTAAAATCAAGACAGTACTTTCCAGTTACCTAGGAAGTGGTTGATGCAGAGGTTACGCAGAGCCTTGGGCATGTGGCAGATGGTTGAAACCAGAAGTTTCAGGGAGAGTGGTTGCTCGGAGGTGTCACCTGATCCATTCAGCTCACTCTCATACTTAACACCATTCAGCAAGATATTAGCGACCTGCATCATAAAAATTCCCAGGTCAACACGCATGTTATGCAAAATCCAAACAGCCTTTGAGCAAAACTCTGCAGTATTACACAGATATCTGAGCACTGCAAAGTCAAGCAGCTACTGCAGTATGTTGATTTGGATAYAAAGAACAGCATTTTGAGGTAAGCACAGCTGCGAGTTTTAACCTTACGGCAAGTGCAAATGTCAATACTGTGATGTAGCTTTCAGCGCAATTGAAAGAGTACTCTGATTTTCTGGAATATTTGCCACCCAATTCAAATGCTAGCATAACTGAGCATAACTGTCAGTGAATTTAATAGGAGCTATACCCAGAATTACGTGGATTTGCCCCCAAAGTTATAGAGACAGTGAGGAAAAAAAAGGCAAGTTTTAACATTCATTTTCATGACTTGCTGTCCTGGATACTTGATCCCTACACGCACATGTATGCAAAACCTGACCCAAACAAAAGCATATAAGTAATAATAATTAAAAAAGACAGTTTACCTCATCCCGGATCATAAAAAAATAGGCCAGCAAACAGAGGTCTCAGAGATTCCAAGTTATCACCAACAATGGGAGGTGAGGCCACAGTATTCCCCCTGAGTAAGGGAATCTCACCTCCCTGATGGAACCAGGTGTAATGACTGCCATAAGGAGAAGCTCATGAGAGAATCCTATCCCTGGCCCTATCTTGCAGGTATTTCTGTGGAAAGGGAAGATACAGGCTCAATAAAAATGTGTCTTTTTGTGTTTTTCGGCTCTCACTTGGTAACTTCCTGGGTGACAAAGCACTAAAAATACCRATCTGACCTCCACACAAGGACTCGAAGAGCTGGAACACTCGCCTATCTGCCATCTTAACGAGGCGGTTCACAGATTGCCAGTCGCAACTCATGTCCTGCTCATCCTTTTATGGGTAGAGTCAGAGCACGTGTTCCATTCCTGGAGTAACCTTTATAGGCAGACTGTCATGAGGAGTCTTATTATGTGCCACATATTTAAAATTACATAAAGAGATTAAATGAACGCTCAGGTTTGCGCAGTCATGAGTTTATATGGTTTACACTGTTTTTCTGCCCTTACCTGTTGGCTGAAAGTTACATTTCTTCTTCTGCTATTTTCTGGACAATGTCCTGTTACAATGTCCGGAATAGCCAAGGTCTGAGGTCTTTTCAGGATCCCCGATGACCGCGGCTTTATTGCATCCAGTGAGCCCACCCTTAGTGCCTCGCCATCAGCCCCTGGAGTTAGGCTGCTCTCCCCTTGCTCCAAAATTCCGTTTTCTTGGTGGTAACAGCCATCTGGCAGCCGGGGAAAGCTGACACTGACAGGCTGCCTGGGCATGCTAGCTGGAAGTGCTAAGTAACTATTGTGCCCACCAGTAAAACAGTCTATAAGCACACTGTCAATATTTGAAGTCCCAAATGATGATGCAAACTCATTAATTCCTGTCAAGGAATTGTCTCTGCTGACAAAGCTGCCATATTTGGGCGTRAGTGGGCTGAGGGGAGAAACCGGACTTGTAAAACTTGCATATAAGTGAGCTGAGTTATGAGAAGCAAGGTTTTCATTTACACCTTCCTCAAAGAAGAGAGGTGGGGAAGGAGGGAGAGGAAGACTTGGACTCTTCATCACCTTTTTCTTCTTGCTAAAGGACCTCAGGGGTCTTTCTGGAATGCTAATTAGCGTCAACACAGTAGTAATCGTCAGTGTAATTGAGGTGAAGATATAGATGACACGAAGATGCCCTCCCACAGCTTTTCCAAAACTGGTTTTATCCCAATGTATTCCTCCAACAACATAACCAAAGCCACCTCCAAGACCTGGTGGAAAAACAGAGCTGAGATTATCTTCCCTAGCCAATCCTTCAAATCAGTAACAGCACAGCACTATTTGATAAGTCGTGTGCAGACTCCAATGTATTCRTTTTATTTTACTACTTAATACCTTAACTGAAATGCCCCAACGTTTTAATTTGTACCACACAGACAGTTGGAACGTGCAGAGTACAGAAAGAGGGAGAGAGAAGGTCAGCACTGTAAAAGCAATGATACAAAGAATTAAAAACACTGTAGCTCTTTCTTTGCCAAGGACAGACCACTTTTCCATCAGCAATTTAAGTCAGCCACATAGGAAAGTTTTGCAAACTGTCAGCTAAAACCGTTTCCCTGAAAAGAATGTTAAAATCCAATTTCCTCATGCACTAGGAGGACAGACTGAATCATTTCAGAAGTGTAAAACGTCAGCAACATGTCAGCACTGTACAGAATTGCCACTGTGCCACTGTAGATAAACAAGGAAGTTCTGAGGGCATCAGACTTCACTCACCATTCACATGGCAACAGCCTTATAACAGTGTCCTTTTCCTCCCTATGCACAAATTAAACAGCATAAAAATCACCTAACAGAGAGTAAAACTAGGTTGCAGCATTACATATAATGTAATGTCAGTGACACTATATATAGGACATGTAATGTGAGGAAACATAGAGCAGAGAACTTTGCATGCTCTACCCACTTCAATGAAGTGACTAAAGGAAGCCTATTTCCCACACTTGTAACAAGCTGAACCTCCTTCCTCATGGCACAATTTGATTTCCTTAGTCATTGTTAAAGACAGGAGGGCCACCTTTAGAATGGACAACCCAGGGCTGTGCCTTGTTTGGCTTCTGGCAGCTACAAAAGCCTCCTGCAGGATGTAAAAGCTTT